TAAAATCAGAATAAAAGGGATAGACAGGAAGAAAAAAACGAATAATAGAAGCAAGCAAAGCTAAGAAATGCTAGCTAAGTCCTCCACTAAAGTTAAGTTACAAATGAATTCAACTGTTTGTGTGCTTGGCTTGGCTCAGTAAGAATTCAATTCTGTTTCGTTTGTTCTGTAAAATAAATGAGCTTGAGACAAAATTTAAGCTTATTGAATGAGCGAGCCGAGCTTCAGTTTGAAGAATCGCGACTCTTAAAGCTTGGCTAATTTATTGTTTATAAATTTAAATAATATAAAACAATAACCATACAAGTTTTTATTATCTCGTATAAGTTGAATTCAAGTTGAATTTTTAAATTTGATAAATAAATAAGTTAAATTTAAGCTCAGCGAAACTCGCCTTAGTTCATACCGTGGCACAAACCAAAATAGGGAGCTCCTCAAAATTGGGAGAACCAGAAAACTTAAGCCTCATAGTCCGGCTGGCTGCTAATTAATGGGCCACTCGGTTTCCTTTCCTTGGGCTGCGGAAGGCCAATTCATGGGCTGCTTGGTTTTCTTGACTTGGAGTAAAGAAAAGACTCCTAGTCATAGTAGTTTGAGATAATCTATATATATATATATATATTGATTTTTTATATTAAAAAAATATGTAAAAAAATAGAGATGTAATATGACTAAAAAAATAAAATGACAGAAAAATGTGCTAATAGAAGAGATGCCAAATAGTGTCTTGATGTCATGTGGTTTATTGGAATGAGTTAATATAACGATGATTGTATCAAACTATTTATTTTTATATTTGGTTAAAATAATAATAATAATAATAATAAATATTTTGCAAATACAATTAACATTTTATTAGGAGTCTAAGAAATGATCATATTACTCCCCTCAATTAAGTGAACCAAGTAAAATATAAGAGGATAGAGATCAATATTGAGAAACTTTCCATGCCATGTATGAGTTGAAAATAAAATGAGGGTGCCCTTCAAGAATGATCGAGTCCCAAATGATTTGAGTCCCAACCTTCACTATAAGCCCAGTAAGTTGTTCAGAAATTAAAATGACTGTACAACCACTCAAATAATAATAAAAAAAGATATACAATAAAATTCAATACACAAATAATTTAAAAGAGAATTAAATATAAAAATTTTATTCATATTACTACCGTCATATTATAAATAACAAAATTATTCTAACTATTCATTAGACTTGTTTTATCCGCTAGATTATGTAACTACAAAAACATCTCCATTCAAATTTTAAAAAATTTGGGCAAATTACAAACACCTCCCTTGAGGTTTGGTGAAAATACAGATTTCCCCTTGAGGTTTGAGAAATTACATCCCGCCCCCTGAGGTTTATATTTCCATAACAAATTGTCCCATGAGGTTTTTATTTTCATACAGATTCCCCCTTAATTTCTCCTAATTTGTTATGAAAATTTGACCCTCAGGGGATAATTTGTAATTTCTCAAACTTCAGGGGGGAATTTATATTTTCACCAAACCTCGAGGGGGTGTTTGTAATTTGTCCAAAAAATTTCTATGTCAATTTTTTTTTTCTTCTTTGGGGTCAAAAAGAGCTTAGAACATCTCCACTCAATATTTCAAATCAACTTTGACAAGCTTAACAGTACTCAGTCCAACTGTAAAGAATTCAAAATTTGAAGCAAAAAATAATAGAATAATAAATTTGATATTTAGGGTGAAAAGTTTTCTTGTAAGAAATGTCAAATTGATAAATGTTAATTTACCACTCAAGTCTTCAAAAAAATTTTGACATATCAAATTTTAAAAATTTGGGTGGAGATGTTTGGATGTCAAGTTACTTGACATATACAAGTACATATCTAAAAGGAAACACTCCACCTATGTGCAAAACTTATTATTTTATTGCATTTACTTTAATAGTTTTTTGTTGTAATATTTTTGCAACGCTTTTATTGGCCCTTACTATTAAAATAATAAAAACAAAAGCATTTGACATTTTTTGGAATGTCAAATTTGACATTGCCAACATATGTGAAATTGACAACTCACTTTTAAAAATTTGGTTAGAGCATAATTAGATGTCAAATTTTATTATCAAAATTGTCACCTTAAAATTGACAATTCGAATGGAGGTGCTCTTTGACATGTATATGCCCATAAAGATCATGAATCACCTATGGACAATCCAACCCCATCACTTGGAGCCCAGTGCATAACCCAGCTGGTGAGGTCCAGGATAGCTAGAGTCCAATATGGCATAAAGAGCCAATGACATTCAGACACACGGCAAGAGAAGGACGAGCCACATCAGCAGACAAAGATCTGCAAGGTTATTGCCACTGCACATCACCATTAATGCAGCCCATCACAGCATTTATTACGACAACACCTCTCTACCAGAACAGGACCCCCTTACCCTGAGCAAGGTAAGCTACAGCATAGGCTTTCGGCGATGAGAGCAGGTCGAAAGGGACAGCGAAATGATTGTCAAAGGATATAAGCGAACGTTGAAGACAAGAAAAATGTTAAGCTTTCCATCTTTAATCTCTTCCCATATACTCTACTTCTCTTCCTAACTTGCTCGTCGGAGGGTTCACTGGGGGACTACCTCGTTCCCCATTGAACTTGTTTGCAGGTTATCCGGTGGGCTCGATCATTTGGGCTTGGGCTTGAGGAGCTTGGACCAGTTCGCTCCATTCACTAGGATAAACTGTATCAACACTCTTCTTTCCAAATATTACTAAAGCCTCTTAACTCACCACTCTATGCATAAACTTAACTTAGTAACTTTCAAATTATTAAGGATAAATTACAAATACACCCTTTGAGAATTGATTAAAATACGAATCACCCCTTACAATTCTGGAAATTACATTTCACCCCTTGAGATTTCTAATTTCATAACAAATCGCCCATTTTATTAATAAATTATTAAGTTAATTAACAGTTTTTAATGATGTTAGAAATATGTTTTAATTAATAATTTACGTAATTTTATTATTGTATAGGAGAACAATTATGAATTTCATTTTTTAGTTAATTCTGTTAAATAAAAAATTCTAATAAAGGGGTATTTGTAATTTTTCAAACCACAAAAAACAATCTGTACTTTAAACAAACCTCAGGGGTAATTGTAATTTATCTAATTATTAAAGTAATATTTTTTTCAATTTTCCTCGTTGATTGTGATTTTTCTATTAATAGCTTAATATTACAAATGTTTTATTATAGAGGGACTTTGATGTAATATTTCTATCTTGAAATCCTCCACCTTCAATAACAATAATTTTTATGGCCATCTTCACGGACGTGCAATCTTCGATTTTGATATTTTTTAAAACCCTTTGATATTTTTTTCTTTACATATTTGTACATATTCTTCAAATGAATACGTTTGAATTTTCCTTTCATATGGGCATCCTCTTCCATTCATTCTTGAACTTTTTATCTCTAGAATTTATTTTTTTGTTGCTGATCAAAAAACTTTTCCATGTTTAAGGTTGTCATTGATAATTTGAGGGATGAAGGAGAAGATTTTTTTTTTTTTTTTCCTTTTTCGTTCAAGGTTGGGGGGGTTGGGGGGATTCATTTAATCATGTTTGTTAACTTTTCTAACATTTTATGTTATTAGGGGAGAGTAGTGTCATTTCTTCATATTAATAGGATCAACTATAATTTGAAAGATAGTTAGAAAAGTTCATGTCTTTTTAGAACAAATTATCTGCACCCTTCAAGACTTGTCTAAAATACAAATTGTTTCTATAATTTTGAAAATAAGTTCCAAACCGTTTTACAATTTTTGAGTGTTCTATTACTACCATTCGCTTCTGCCACCACTACCCACCTTCCACCACTTTACAACCGCCGCCACCACCGCCAACACTACCGTACCACAATTACCACCAACCACATCCACTATCTTACTATTATTACCATAACAATCCTACTAGCGCCACTGCCACCGTCATTACCATTATTGCCACCGCTACTATTGCCATAACTAGTATTTTACCACCACTTGCATCACTCTACTACCGCTACCATTGCAACAACCACTACTTCATCAATATGACCACCAACTACATCCACTATCATATTATTACTGCTATAACCATCCTATCACTACTATCACAACCACCGTCACCACCTTAACACCACTACCACTACCACATTTTACCACCATCTATTACCACCACCATCATAACCCTACTATTGCCACCACTACCACAAAAAAACAATCTTCACCATCCTATTATTATTGCCATAAGCATCCTACCACTGCCACTGTCATAACCACTGCTTTACCATTACTGCCATCACCCTACTACACTACTACTACCATCGCCAATTAACACTACCTACCTAACTACCTACCACCACCCCCTTACTATTGCCACCAACACCACAACCACTACCCTACTCGATCACTACCAACCATCTCCACCATTTTACTATTACTACCATAACCATTTTACTACCACTGTTGCCACCATTATCCTTCAACAGTCATCACTACTTTATTACCACTACCATTACTTTATCATTGCCTCAACTACCATACTACTATCACAACCACTATCCTACCATCATACTATTAGTGCAATAACCATCATACCACCACCACACCATACCAAATTACAACCACGACCGATGTTTTCGCCACCATCACCGTCACAATCACTACTCACCATTCATCACCACTTCTACAATATCAAAACTATCATGATCTAAACAATCATGATCTAAACAATTTTAAATTAGTTGTTACTAGTTTGACAAATAAATAAAAAATATTATTACATTCCATTGTTTTAATAAGTATAATAAAACATAAGAATGGGGATTGTCATTCTATTTCTACTCATCCAATATGAACACACAAGTAATAGAATAAGAACATACATTTCATTCTATTTAACCTTCTATTCTATTCTCACTTTGATTCCATTATGATTTTATTCCATTTAATCCTACTGAATGTGTACATAGGTTTGTTGGGCTTGGATACAAGTCCATATGACCCATTTATAGAATTTAAGAACCCTAACCACCCAGATACGGCCACTGCAAAAATCTATCATTAAAACCTAACTAACGTACTAATTTTCTATCACCTCATGAACCCTCAATAAAAGCACAATTGGTTACTGCAACCACCTTTTTCCACCATTAAGCCCAATATCTCTCACATTGTCTCTCCCATCTACAGAATTAGAAAAGAAGCAGAAGAAGATGAAAGAAAATCAAGAAAGTAGAAGAAGAAGAAACAAAAGAAAAAGCAGTGACACAAATTTTTTTTTCTTTTTTTGGGGGTCTCTTCTAACTTTCTGATTTTGTGTCTGCCACAAACATTAATGCATTCTGTCTCTGAGTTCTTGTTCTGATTTTCCAGCCATCTGCCCTCCTTCCATTGTGTGAATACAGGTACACTGTTTTCCTTTTTTAATTTTGCTCTGACAAATACATGAGATACTGGTAGACTGTTCTTGGACAAAATTAATGCCTCAATTATTTTTTGAATGACAATTTAGCTACGGAAAGCCCTTACCTTGATGATTTAACTTGTTGCTTGCACACCCATTTCAGTTCATGACAGTCTACGCCTATATATATATATATATATATGCATTTAGCATCTCCATCTAATATTCCAGTGATTAGACCTATCTCTAGCCTCTACTAAAAATTGAGTAACAATCTGAGTAAAAATTGCCTTGAAAATTTTGAGTCAGCCTTGATTTGAGTAAAAGAATTGAGTAAAATTTTAAGTGGATATGGTTTTGGGGGTTTAAGATTATGTTTTAACCAAACAGAAAATGATTGGATGACTGTCTCTAACTGGACTATTTGAACTGTAAAAAAAAAAATAAAAAAAAACCTCGAGGGATTAAATAGATGAAATTGATAGTTCATGTATGAAACAGGAAAAATGACAATAGTTTAGCGGTAAAGATTTGAAAATAGTATTTAAGGTCTCGAGTTTAAGTCACTTCAAGGGTCACTGGAGGTTTGGCCCCGTCATTAACTTCAGGGCTATGAGTTTAGTCAAGATAAGTGCAAACTGGCTTGAACGTCCAATTATCAAAAAAGATGACAATAGTTTAGAGGAAGAAAGTGAATCTAATCCATTTTGTTTTGGTTAAATATGGTAGAAAACTAATTAACCTTTTACTAATCTTTAACTTAACTTAGAGGCCGAGGGATTGACCAGTGGGTGAAGGTTCTTGTTGGGCGTCATGTTTGGGATCAATTACTCATCTCTTCACAATGGAACTTCCTTGATAAATAATAATAATAATAAAAAAAAAATAAAAAAAAATAAAACTAATTTAGTTCACCTAATTTCTGATAAATTCTTAGATAAGTTGCTTCATTTATGTCTAGGATGAGAATAAACATGGGGCAAACACATCCACCTTGAAAACGTTCCTTATTTTGTAACTCAGTAAAAGCCTTTTAAAACTTTGATTTATATCATTATAGTCCATAATCTAGCTGATTGATGTTGATCAATTCTATCAAGGATCTCAGATTTAGCTGGATTCTTCTTTTTAGCAAAAGGTCAAATGATGATTGGAAAAAACTGAACTAGTGACAGAGTTGAGGAAATCCAAGTGAGCAGCTGGGCTGAGATTGCTTTAATTGGTTAGCATTTTAAGCTCATGTGGCCATTTTAATGATCACTTGAAAGTTCACTTTTTTTTTTATTTTTTTTCTGTAGTATGTTGGCTGATATGAAATTAGTTTTGAGTAGTCTAATGTCACCCTTTAAGGTTGGGTTTGTGAAAAGGACTCTTCTGGAGATAGTCCTGGGGTTGCAATAATCTCCCCTACTTCTGGGGCTCTCATCAAACGTTTCTACACATTTATTGGTCTCAACCACTCTGATGTTCAATACATTTACTATGCATTGCCAAATATCACCTTGTATGAGTTGTAGTAGTAAATATCTTCGCTACAATTACGTTCTCCGTACATATAATATGAGAAGATTCATGTTTTATCTTTCCTTTTCTCTCATTTATTTATCTTGGGTTGGGGAAGGTGGAGAGTTTGTTGGTTAACTCGGTCTCAGTGCATATTGAAGGTTAAGAATTGAAGCATCTGTACTTTAAAAATGTGTGGGGATGGCACCATCAGCGGCACTGGCACCACTAGTTATATTAACAGGCTTACCACTTTTGTTTTGTCCCATCGTCACATTTAAGTCCAATGAAATTTAATTTTTTTGAAAATTATTTTGAGACTCCTAAGTTTTAACAAAGGTTAAGTGGCAGAGTTAATTTTGAATTCAAATTAGAAGGGTTGGAGGTAGAGTTCAGACAAAGAAAGGTCACATATGATCCGAAGCCATATTCACAAAATTGACTCCCAAATATTCTCATTACCCTCCATTTTACACAGTTTGTGACCGTCTTCAAGCATAAGATAGTTTCACCCTCTGCTAGATCCCTTCTCATTGTACTGGCTTCAGCTTAACAATAATACTACAAGCTTCACCACCATCAAAAGAGTGCCCATCCTCTGCCATGCTTGATGTTGGTGAGGCTTGCTCCAACTATCAAATAGCCTCCATTCACTTATGGAGCATCAACACTTCAAAACAGGTGTCATACCAGTATCGTACATGGGGACATGGTAGGGACATAACATGGAACATGACTTGTCTCTTTATTTAATTAATTTGTTTATTGGGGACATACCTGAGTCTGAGTCCGTGCTTGTTAGCTATTTGCTGTACTCAATCAGTTGTCACCGCAACTGGCCTTGTGCTCTTTGAAAACGTGTCTATTGTCTAGTGCTATTTTGCAACAACTACATACTACTTGAGGAAAATGTGTCTAGTGTCTACTTGAGTGTTGGCTTTTGATTATTAAAAAACAAGTTACTCCAACCAGGAAACAACCATTGGTACATATGATATATATTAAATGAGCACAATGATAGAAATTGTGCAGGCCTATAAAACAAGATGTATAGTTAACAGTTAAGACCACAGATTTGCTGGCTACTATTGCAAACAATATTATTATTATTATTATTTAATGCTATATATCCTCCCGAGTTCTATAAAATAAAGAAAAAAAAGGACCACAGATATCATCTGAAGTAAACTAATATGGATTATTACATGCCAAAAACATATTTGACAAATAAAGCCCTACACACATCTTAGTGCACAAAGTGAGCAAGGCCAATTCACCAGACTAGGTTGGCACAATTCATCTTGCATCGAGTTCGATTTGAGCTCCAGTTTGACAAGCTAACAACCTAAGAAGCATGGATACGAACACGTGACACGACACGGACACGCCGACACGTTAATTTTCAAAAAATACAGGACACGACACATGGGAGATATGCATGAAATATATAAATTTAAATATGTATTATATGTTATATATATGAATATATCATTCAAATATAATAAAAAATGCAATATAACATTAATTCCTATAAATTTATATAGTTTTTGTTTTATTATTGTATCTAAGTTGTTTTGTTTAAATGTACAATTAGTTTCACATATGTCTAATTGATAGACACGTGTGTTTAAGCTATTGACATGTGTGTCCTTCAAGTGTCCAAAGAGTGTCCGGGTCTTTAAAAAAATTTAAAAGTCCGGATCTTTAAAAAAATTTAAAAAATAAGATACGTTTGAAGAGTGTCGGACATGTGCCCAAAGAGGGTTGGTGTCCGACACGGACATGACACAGATACGTCACCTTCTTAGAAGTGTCCATACTTCTTAGCTAACCACCCTTACACTGGATGTTTGATTCCTAGCACTCTACACAAGTTTATGCAGTATTATCTGCTATAACTGAGATTTTTTCTGTTTTTTACTTGGCAGTAACATAGTGCCAAGTTTAGCCGAGAGTTGGTATGTGAAACAAATCAAAATTAAAACCTGACCTTGAACTTGAATGTGGCATAAAGAAGCTAAGGTAATTGAACTCAATCTGCTCGTTTGTGTTGTTTCTACTAATTAGCTTCAAGAATTATCATCACACCATCACACCTATGTATCATCCACTCAAAGCTTAATTCAGCTAAATTTTTATTTTTATTTTTTCTAGTCAAGCCACATTTGGTATGGAAAAAACAGAAGACCCTTCTTGCATTCTATCTGAAAGTTAATTTGTTTTGTTGTTTAGAATGAGACAACAATCAAGGACTCTTGGGTTCACTTCAGCACAAACTGGTTTAAACCGATAACTAACAGACAACATAAGTTGCATATTTAAAAAGCTAACCGAATTTGAAAAAGAAACCAGCATTGTTCATTAGTCAGAATGCAAAGGTAAATGGAGTTCTAAAGTTATGTGAGAAGGTCTTGGGTTACATTTTATCATTGGCAAAGTCAATACCCGAACCTATTTACTCTTGCAGGGTGCTTAAATGCGTTCTTGTTGCTTCTCTGCTGAAGCAAACACCCTTAGGCAAGGATCGTCAAGGTGCGTTCTTGACTTCTTCCCTTTGTTTTGCAAATCACGGTAAACACATCCTTGTTTTCTCAGTAATCTTCCCTTGATATTCCCTGCAACTAAGAAATTGAAAATGGGAAAAAAGTGAGACCCTCATCAAACTTAGCAATTTAAGAAGATAAAATAGAGTGAATAGATTCATGGAGCAGACACAAATATATATCATTTAAATCCTTAATGTGCTTGTAACTCTATTCACTTAGTTCTCTGTGTTCAATAGCATCTATACATAAAGAGTTTTGTCCCACAAGGATGATGTTCACTTATCAAAAAGGTCGGGGAGATTACTTTTTAACTTATCCTCCCCCATTTTGGTTGAGAAACAGGTTGAGACTTGCGTTCAAGAACAAAAATTGGTTGGAGAATTCAAACACATTGTACAATAAACTAATGCTCTATAGAAAAAGTCTGTAATTGATATCCAATAGGTTTAATCCAAACTTCACAATCCTAATTGTCCTTAGAAAATTATCAAAAACTAGTTAACAGTACTTACATATATTTGAAAAACTGACAGGTTCTGTTTTGAGTATAACGAGAATGAATGAAAATGTCTTTCACAAACTGCTTAATAATGTTATTTAATGTACCCAAAATGTGGTAGAAACAGTTTGTAAAAGACAATTAATTTTGCTTATGTAAACACTTTTCCCACAACCTCCAGTTCTAAACCCTTAAATTTTTTAAAACCCAGATAGTATTAATGAAAGCCATGACAATTCAGGTTAAACTGAAACAAGTTTGAAGAGTGGCTTACCCTGGCAAGCCATTTTGGTCACGCATTCACTCCGCCTACAGAACTTTTAATCCTTTCAACTGTGCACTTGATAAGATTGTTAACAGTTGCCACAGATCCAAGAGAGAGCTTTGCTGTTGGGACTGAATCAACTAAGATCTGAAATGCAACAGTGAGTAGTGATCCACCTGTTCCAACTTCTGAAATTCCTCCTCCATGATGTGTGGCACCATCAGGAAGTATAGCGAAACCCGAAGGCAAGAGGGCTACGTAATCTGGGTCTCCGCCACTTAAAACCACGTTCATTGCAACAATATCAACTGGAGCATAAATAACATAAGAGCCTGTGGAGTCGGTGCAACTCTCTTGAAGAATCAGCATGTTGCTCTGGCTTGAGTTTGCACTCTTTAAGGTATGTTTTGACATTTTTCGATGTGTTAGTTCAATTGATAACAGCAGTTTCTAAATGAATACAATAAGATTATAGCCAGTTATATATATGTCAAGTATAGGCTTACATTGACACGTAGAAGGGATACGGAGTTGCCAGGATCGCGACCATTAGCAATGTGCGCCATTTCTTGAACTAGGCCACCATTAGAGAGAATATCCCACTGTATTTATAAGATAAAAATGAGAAAAGTACTTAGATATAAAATGGCATTGAGGTCAAGAAATAATTATCTTTGATCTAATAGAACGAAGCTTACTGTTACAACATTACAAATGTGTTTCATTCAAGTAGGTTTAAGATTGAAATTCTGATGCCCTGTTCGCATGACGACAATAAATGAAAGAAAAAGCAAGAGATGTACAATGAAATAGTTTCAAGTACTTGTCCAATCTTTGTCTCATTTCCGATAGTTCAAATGCATTCCAGTGTTTGCATCAGTTGCAGTACATGTCAATATTATAATGACATCACATTCTACTCCATGTTTTTGAGTTATTGATGGAAAGTACCAATAAAAATTGTCCATTTTCTTACTTTTAGCGATGGAAATTGCAGGGATTATAAAGACGAGAATGAATGGCAAAAAATGGTTTGATTTGATACCTCACTTCTAGAGTGCTCATCGCGAAGAAAATCAAAAACTCTCTTTGGAGGAACTGGGATCCAAAACGAGGTTGCAGCACTTAACACGATCCCAGGAGGCCTACCAGGATCATCCATGCTCTTTCTGGTCATAACCCTTACATCATCAGCTCCACTTCCTGATAATGTTGTCCACGTGTGCGCTGTCGAAGCACCAACACCAGTGCAAAAGCTCATAACCATCCTCTCAGCCAGTTTCAGCATACTCTTCCTCCCCTCTGGACTTGTTATAACTGTAACAAAATTGACAACAAAAATACTAGAAATGGGAACATTGTTTCTGTCAACTGAATTTTTTTTTTTTTTTGTTGTCATTTTTATGTCTACAGAATTATTGTAGAGTTGATTAGCATGACATGTGTCAATAGTGAAATGGTTTGATTACCTCCAATATCTCCTGCTGGTATGTTGTTGGCCATTGCACTTGCAAGGCGTTCACACTGTCGATCCAATGTAGCCACCCAACGTTTTGCACCGAACGCAAGACTGGAATTAACCAGTGGTCTGTATATGTTGTGAACAGCTCTATCATCCACTTCAACATGTTCAACCCATATAACCTACAAAATTGTAAATCAATGACAGTATTTAGTGACATAACTACCAATGTTTTAAACAGAGTGGGAAATTAGGTTATGGGTTCAAGTCACAGGCCAATCACTTTGTGTACTATGTCAAAAGTTAGGTGTGTATCCAATTATTTCCTTTCCAAACACACATTAATGTGTAATAATTGAACGTTGTTTTTTTAAATTATATATATTACCATCACTTGGAGAAGAGTGAAAAAAATTCAATAATAAAATGCAATTAGAACTACCAGAACTAAATTGACACAATAGAAAAACTACAAGAATTACAAATGCATTTCTGCTTTTAAAAATCGTAAGTGAAGCAAAAGCTCTTTATATTAGTTGAACTGGCTATATAGACTACGAAGTTGCAAATTTTTATTTCGACAGTATACTATACTGGAGTAAATTGGAATTGAAAAATCAAAAAAGCAAACCGTATCAACCGATATTTAAAACCATACTAGTGTGGTTTTAAAACAATAGAGTTCTTGTCATACCTTAGAGTAACCATTGGGAACTTCTTGAATTAAACAACCAGATGGTCGTCTTCTACATCTTGAAATTGCACTAGTCTGCAAATTGTCCAAGGAAACATCCACCACTGCCCATGTCCCATCTGCATGCTGTTTACAATACCTTACAAAGTAGTTCTCTCTTGTTGGAACCAATGGTGAAGGTACTTGGAACTCAGCTGCCATCTGAAACATAATAATTAATACATTACTAATTACTACATTAATCTCAGCTAATTGAATCAAATATGCTTATAGTTTCTTACAAAATACAAATAGAAAAAGCACAAAATTAAAGTGAGTATTTTCCATGTGGTTCCCATTGTAAAAATTTCTCTCTTTAATTTCTAATTTTTTGTTATTTTAGTTCAATTGATAAACATTTGTTAAAAATTGGACAGAAATTAAAGACAAAATGAATGATTAGAAATCAAATTGACCATTTCAAACTAAATGCTAATCTCTCAATAGAGTGAACTAACTTTTTTGACTATTGATTTCAATCAAACTTCTAAAGAGGCATTATGAATTGAACTAAATTCACATAACATTATGCATGTGTAAAACTGATATAATTAGGAATTATAAGGATGGAATTGACACAAACGGTAAACTAAAAAGACTATTAATCAAGATTCTAAATCGCGGTATCGGGTAACGTAAAGGTATCGATCGCGGAGTATCGGTATCGATCGGTACGTATCGGGAATCGGGTGTCGCAGCAGTGAAATTTTAAAAATCATTTTACAGGTTTTTCAACTTTTTCTTTCCTGTACCCGGTCCGAACCAGTGAGTATCGGCCCGTTGCGGCTTGTGTAACAGTTACAGGCCGATACGTACCGGGACTCGGCCGATACTTCTGCGATTTTCAATCTCAGTGATATACCGGCCTGTGTCCGTCACGGCACTCCATTTTTCCGATACGTATCGGCCGATACGTAGGGTATCGGCCGATATTTAGAACCATTCTATTAATGTAATTTTTCCAAATTTATATCTAGACCATACACTTCATTGTATGTGAATTTTTCGTTGTACATTTCTGTGTTCAAAGCTTTTCTCAAAACCTGCCTCACGACATGTTGAAATGAAACATTTTAAATAGAAACATTTGAAGAACTTATTGCATACCACTTGAAGAGCTCCATTGTAGTTCCCTGCCACTCCAGTTGATAAGATCTCCAAGGTAATTGCTCTTGAAACAATCCCAGAAAACACACTTGTCCATTGATTCTGCCAACACAATTTCATTCAGCTTAAAAAAGATTGATATTAATCAACTACAACTACTACTCGAAATCATGATACAAAAAATTATTTAACAAGCTAAGCTAGGTATACCACATCCATAAGAATCTCCACAAGGTTGATATGATTCATAATAACCACTGCAGATTCACGAGAAGCTTCCGACTTTAGCCCCAATGGTTTAGGCCCGATTCCTCGAGGAAAGGTTCTTAAGTAATCTTCTTCACTCAAAACCTCGGTAGAATTAAAGTCAGGGTTTGGTATCCACAAGGGTTCACCAGCCTGAGCCATTCGGATGAGCTCTTCCATTGCTGCAACAGCAAGCTCGATGATCACAGGCTTGTCTGCTTCAGTAGGTCCTGAGACTGACCTTAGAAGATCACCAGCTCCGAATAGGTCTCCGACTAAGCCAGAAGAATGTGCTGAAAAATTACCAACTCCAAGATCAAATGAGCGAGGCGGTCCATGAGGATAGGAGAGCATAGGTTTGCCAACATATTTTGCAGCAATCCCAGATATCCTATCAATCTGTAAACAATGTATACACAGAAACATCTTAATTTCATCCAAGGGTTTTGAATAGTAGTATTAGGAGACGAATCAGTACTAGTTATAGTGTAACAGTATGAGGTAGTGACAACTACAAAACTTTCTGTTGATAGGATCATACAAAATCTTGTACACTAATTCTCAAATAATAAATGAATAAAATCTTAATAACTAATATAAATGTAGCTATAAGTAATTTTACAATTGCTCTGAACAAGGTTTTATATTTTGAAATTGTTGCCTAATATCTGGATACTATCAAGTACATTATTGGTTACACTAACAAAAAAAAAATATATATATATGGATACTTATAGAAAATAGTAATTTTTCATTTCTACTAAAATAAGATGTCAGCAAAAATCTAAAGGGCATGTGCTGCGATCACAAAAAGAAAAAAAAGAAAGAATAGTGTTGTTTGTATGTTCAAATGCATTAAAAAGCTAAAATATTCAACTCAGTTAGCTTAGCACAGTCCCATAGTACAAAATGTATCACAAAAATTTAAACTTTCAATTAAATTCAAGAAAATACACATGGATATAAAACTACACGAGTAATGCTTAAACCTGTGGGCTCTTTGTTTTTTCATTGAATTTTTGGAGACAATGTGTTAAACAATGGGTGCAAAACATTTTAACAAATACTTTATAACAACGCATAATATAAATTTTTTTTTTAATAAAATTTTTGAAAGGTTGATTGACATCACAATCTAATATTCCACCCCTTCTACGAGGACTCGTGAATTTCTAAAATATCAGTCGTGTAAAAGAGCTTTCTAGTAACTGAAACTTATTTTATATGTGCGTAATATCTCAGCAATCACCTCTTCTCGTAGACGAGCATTCTCGATCCTCAAATGCTGCTCGTCAAAGGACATTTCGCCAATGGCAGCAGGGCCTCCACAGTTGGGACAAGTAGCATTGCTAAGGGCTTCTTTGTACCTAATGTTATCTCCACGAAGCTTTTCATTCTCAGCTCTCAGTTGTGAGTTCTCATGGCGCTCATGTTGGGCCTGTCATAATTAAAGCACAATCATTTCCATCAATTAAGCTTGGTAGAGCATAGATGGCTGCACAGTGCTACTGAAAATAAACTTAGTATACACATCAAAGTAGAGAGTTTTGGTAGGTTTAAGATGGGAAATAAATTGAAGCTTATATATCTCACTTGTTATGCTTCCGTTTTCTTTGTTTCCATTTTCTGTATTTTTGAAAACAATAATAATGAAAGATTGGAAAACACAAGTGTTTGATGTTTCCCACTTGGATTGGTATTGGAATTTTTTTTTCGAAAACAGCTTTTCCAAAACAATGTGTACTTTTTGAAAGATTAAAAAAAACAAAAAAATACATTGTATAAAGTGCACTATATATGTGTAAAAGAGTTACCTTCATCTGTGTGCGTTTGTTTTGGAACCAAAATTTAATTTGCAAGGGTTCCAACCCTAATCGACGGCCTAGATCCTTCCTTTGCTTATCATCTGGATGAGGACACTCCTTGAAGAATCTATTACAAAATTCAAAAACCAATTAAAATCAAATCCTCCATTCAAGAAATAGAAAAGCTCTCTTCCCTCTCTCTCAGACACCATAACACGCTCAAAACATAAAGTTCTTACGATTCCATTTCCTGGATTTGATGCTGTGTGTGCCGATGGTAGCGCTTCTTTTTGGGCCGTTGATTGGGATCTTGATCATCACCAGAGGGGGCTTCCATGATATCAGTGCCTGATTTGCTCTCAAACTCTTCATCTCTGATCATATCTAACTCAGTTTCGGGCATTTTGTGAGTCATATCAAGTAAATGATGACTATCAAACATGTTTGGCTGAAACATCTTCACAGATCTTTAAGGTTCCCAAGCCAAGGTTTTTCAATCTATCAACAAAATGAAAGTTAAAGGCACTTGCAAAGTTAGATCACTGTCTGAACATACAAAGTAATTGATTCAACAAATGCAGTAAACCCTAGGTGACAATATGCACATATAGAAGTAGATAATTTTTTAGCCGAAGTTCTAAAACATAAGAATGCTAATCATATATATATTAGTAATATTAGGATTATCACATTTGTGTAAGAAAAATTGTTATTCCCCTCTTTCTATATATCCAAAAATAAACTTTTAGCGGTTTTATCGAAAAAGATTTTACTTTTAACTTATGGTCTTACAGAAGTCAAAGTTTTTTTTAGTCAATTAAAAAATTAGAAAGAAAAAATACAATATATATATGTATATATAAAAAGATGGAATCAAAAGGACATGCACTAATTAAATAACCACAGTAGTCTTCAAACAGTCCATGGAAATAAATTAAAAAAAAAAAAACAAGAACAAGAACATAGAGAGAGAGAGAGAGCAAAGATGAGAAACCAAGGATCTAAAATTCAATAAAGATAGTCTTGAATCTAGAGTCCTAACCTGACTGAAAATTAGCTCTGACGACAACCCAAATCCACTGGCTTCTTTCTCTTCCTTTTCAACGTCGGTGATGTACACATCTCAGTCACACACAAACAAACGCTAGATGTTCATCTCTTACCAACAAAACAAACCCTAGAAACTTCTCTCTCTCTCTCTCTTGGAGGTGTCTAGGGGTGGTTTTGGAGGACTCTTTAATAGATTCTCTGGCAGTGTCTGAGCAAGATAATGAGAGGGTTACATGTTTTTACATATACCAAAGTTGGCCTTTTCTTTTGGGGCTTTGAAATGAAACAAAGTCTTTTTTTTTTTTAAAAAAAAAAAAAAAATTATCCAATCTGTCTTTACGTGCCCGAAAGACCAATTTGAGAAAAAAAATTACCAAAAGCAAAAAGAGTTGACGCACAGAGTGTGAACTGGCCTTTGACACTACCAATTTCAAATCAGTTGTTTTTTTGTAACCCCCACGCAGATCTCGGCTGACTACAACCCCACCTCTCTCTCTCTCTCTCTCTCTCTCTCTCTCTCTCTGCAAAAAAGCATAACGGAAATCAATTAAAATTAAAAGTTTGTACCACATATGAAGAGGAAGCTGATATAGTTGTACATATTATAATTTAACACAAGTGAGGATAAGAATTAATGATGGTTTTTTTTATAGAAAAACTATTCAACAACATGAAGAGCTTGTATATGTATAGTGACTTACTTGGGTTTGGATCTTTGTGAGAAGTAAGAGTAACCCTTTTCAAGTTATAGGGTAAAACCACCGAGAGAAAGGAGATCTGGTTTTCAAGCTGGTGGGTCAACTGAAAACCGCTTTTTGGATGATGACGAGCGGTTTTGGTGGGTGGAGGAGTGATTTACAGGCGGTTTTGATTGAGACCTTTCTTGTGAGAAGAATTTAAGAAGAATACTTGGGATGGGTATGAGAGAGAGAGGAAACGGACGAGAAAAAAGAGGAGATATCAAAAGAGAGAGAGAGAGAGAGAGAGAGAGAGCTTTGAAGAGGGTGAGAAAGGGAAGAAGGAAAGGGAACAGGTGGAGAAGATGTGGCAGCGTGGAGTTATTGCAGAGCGTATAGAGAGGATGCAATTGCATTTAAGGAGGGTAGAGGTGTAATGAAGAGAGAGAGAGAGAGAGAGAGAGAGAAAGAGAGAGAGAGAGAGAGAGAGTTGTGTTGTGATGTTTAAATTCCTTCTATAGGAGTATGGTGAAACGACTTATGGCTTCTTAACTGCTCAACTTTCACTGATTCATTTTTCTCCAAAACTTCGTCATTTCATGTCCTCTCCAGCTGGTATTTCTTGCCGATCAATTTATGTGTGTTTAGATTTTTTTCATATGCTTATATATCAAATATTCAAGATTTAAACACTGCGTACAATTTGTTTATTCTTTTATTATATTTTTTTATAATTAAGTATCCGAATCAGTTTATACCTAACTTGACTAATCCGGAATCTTAAAATTAAGACAAATCTCTAATAATATCTGGATGCATTAAAACTCGAGATCATGAAGTAGAAAATAAAAAAAAACTTGAGAACTTGAATTTTATCAAATATTCAAGGTTTAAACACTAGGTCAAATTGCTTTGTAGTAACACAAACTACCATTAGAGCCATTATGTATAAGAAACATATATAATAATTTTATTAGACCATTATAGAAAATAATGAAAAATATGTTTAGGGAATCTAATAATTTGAAAATTATTTAAATTTTTTCTTCACCTCAGGTTAAATAAATAATATATTTGATGAAGTGAAAAAATTGTGTTCTAGTATCACTACAAAAAATTAAGGTTTTGGGGATCAAAATTTAGGGACAAAGTTATTTTTTAGAGACCAAATATTTTTGTTGTGAAAAATGTCATTATATTTCTAGCAACAAAAATTGGACATTAGTGATGAATTATTATCTAGTTGGGACTAATTTTTTTGTCTCAAAAAATAAACCATTTTGAGACTAAATTATTTTGTCCCAAAAAGTCCATTTATTAGTGACATTTTTAAAATTTTGTCGTTAAAATTCTTGTTTTTAACTTTTTGAGACGACTTTTTAACGACTATTCTCACAATGATAGAAATTGGTCCCTAAATATCTTTTGTAACAAAATTTTCAATTTTAAAGATCAAAGTATGAGTCTCTAAAACTCTTATATATTGTAGTGTATAGAGATGATTCAATGATGCATTGTCAATTCTAATGAATTCAACTTATCTTTTAAAGAAGCCTTGCAAGAGTTGTAAAATATTTGAACAATGCTAGATATATTATTGATTTTTTTCACCTTAATAAAAACATATGCCTTCATTATCTCCTTAATTAGTTTTTTCACACAAGGAACTAGTTACACGAATTCACATACAAAAAAGATGATATATCATATAGCCTTTTTCAATATTTTTTAGGTATTGTTAAGAAGATGAAAACAAGCACATTCAAAATAAATAAATAAGTTCATTAGTGACAAAGTGATTCTTAAATCAATAAATAAAATTTAAATAACCCTTTTGCCCTAATCAAGTCTGGTGTACGATTTTTTTCTTCTTCTCAATTTTACTTCTGTCAAGAACTATATCCTTAGTTAAATTAAATAATTAATAGTTTTACATTAATTTCTATTACAAAAGTTCGCTTGGATAATTCAAAGAATGATGCTACGTTGGATATGTTGTGCCTAAGATACATTTAGCGCATGGAAGATGTTACTTGAGCAAAGGCATACAATCATTGTTGGAATTCATGGTTTTAACACACACATATATAACGAAATCCATGACCATGCCTTAACAAAATGATGAGAAGTATATATACAAACTCAACAGCCATTTAATTTATCGTCTTATCTTACTATTTGATTTATCAATTTAGTTGTCACTTCTGCATTAAAGATATATATAAACAGCGAGACTCTTACACTAATATTGTGTTGGACAAATAAGACAATAAACATATTATATTACAAAAGGGTTGAGTTTCTTTCATGTTTGCAATCTTAATTTAGAGAACACTTAGGTTTGGTAGATTCATTTTAAGATCGATTTCGGTGATCTTCATTGTTCAATTTTAAAAACTCATTAAGTAGAATATTCATATAAAAAATCAAGATATCATATATTAATAGCTATATGTTTGAATTAAATTTATATTACAAAAAATAGATGATTATTCTTTAAATTATATTATTATATGTTTTTCTAAAATAAATATGATTCAAACATATAGTTATCGATATTCAATCATCTTAATTTTTTGCATGAATATTTAACAAGTCCTAAAAAGTGAAGTGTTTGGACCACTAAAATTGGTTCCAAATGGGCCTATGAAGCCCAATGCTCTCTCAAATTGAGATGACAATTTGAGAGAAGGCAAACACTGTAAGAAAATATAGTAAATGTAAGATTATTGGTAATACAATTACTCCATCAATTTCAAAATATTAGTCTCTTGTTTTATTTTTTATTGTCTCAAAATATTAGTTTCTTTTAAAAAATGAAAGACTAAAATAACATGAATTTCTTATTTTTCCCTTCTTTTAAATTCATTAATTATGCCAATTGAAATTCCCCAAAAAAGTAGTTTTGAAAAATTATTTTTGAAGTGTAATAATTATACTACCAAAAAAAGTTAAATTTCTTAAAAGGGACTAATATTTTGAGACTGGTGGTGCTACATGTACCAATTGGTATACCAATCAGTGTACCAACATATATTATGACATTATTATTGACCTCATTCATTATACAAATTACAAATACTCAAAACCTCTAAAATTATGACATATCATCTGTTAGTACACTAATTAGTATACCAATTGGTACATATAATATTATTCTTTTGCGATGGAATAGTATCTTTTATTGCACTAATTACATGGCTCATCAAATTCAAAAGAAGTATTCTTTGAAAATATTAATTCTGTCTAAGGAAAAACAATTACTATAAAGTTTTGGACAAACGAATTTATTATTATCCCAATTATATTTCGATGTCTTTCCTAATATATTTTTGAAAAGAAAATTACTATTAAAATTCTAAATTCATTCACACATACTTACTTAGGCACATGAGTTTAACACGTACAACACACGCATGGTATGTACACACACATACGTGTGTGTTCACAAACAGCGCACGCAATGTATGTGTATGTATGTACATCCTACACAGTCGATGGAGAGAGAATGGTTAAAAAAATGAGAAATATTTGGGGCCTCGAATTGTGAGGCTCGAATGTGCCTCGACTTTCCCATATATATATTTTTTTTTGGTTGTGTTTGGACTGTGTTGGTTTTTTTGTTTTTTGTTTTGGAAAATGTTATAGATTTTAAATAATTTATTAAATTTTTTTATCAAATTTCTCAAATGGATTTGGGATCCACACAAATCACATATATGTGTGTTCTACATTCATGTGAGAGGTTTGGTAAAATATTTGATAATTTATTTAGGATCCCTAGCATAACTCTTTGTTTTTCTTTTCTATTTTTGGGTCCTCTTTTTTTTTTTTTTTTTTTTTTTTTTTTTTTTTTTTTTGGAAGGTGGTTATGTGTAGGAGTGCGTTAAAAAATTAGACATCTCGCACTAGCTCAACTTGTATGATTTGATAAGGTGGGTGAGTTGCGTTAGACTGGTTGGGTGATAAAACTGACTGATCAGTTAAGTCGCTGGTTAAAATTTATTAAGTCCATATAATCAGTTAGGCTAATAAATTTGTGTGGAATGTCTAATTTTTTGATATACCCCTACACATAACCACCCTTCAAAAAAAAAAAAAAAAAAAACCAAACCAACACGGCCCAAAAAAAAAAAGAATAAAAAACAAAAACAAAAAAGGGGATTCGAGGCACATTCGAGCATCAATATTCGTGGCCCCTAGCACTGCTGTAAAAAAATATAATTAGATTTCTCTCATATTTATGTCTTAGTATGAGATAATGTGAGAGGTTCATAGAGTTTATTATAGTTTTCGTTTTGATAATTTAAATCGTTTATTTTTTAGGATTCGTTAAATATAATATTTAAGGGCTTGGCTTCTGTCCAGTCCTTAATCGGACTGGACCGTGTTGTTGGGCCCGTGGAGGCCCACCACGGGTCCCGTTTTGATAATCTGAACCGTTTAATGTGTAGAACTCGTCGAGTACTATACATTTATAAAAAATCACGTTAATCGGATATCGGTAGCTATGTGATCAAATCAGTTTTGTATAAAAAAATGAACGGTGAATAAATTAACGGTTGACAAAAATCTGATTTGATCACATAACTATTGATATCCGAGTAACGTGATTTTTTACAGGCTTATAGTACTCGACGAGTTCTACACATTAAACGGTTCAGATTATCAAAACGGAACCCGTGGTGGCTCCCCACGGGCCCAACAACACGGTCTAATCCGATTAAGGACTGGACAGAAGCCAACGCCAATATTTAAACAAAAAATCAAGATGAGCGGATATCGATAACTATATGTTTGAATTAAATTTTTATAAAAAAAAAATAGATAGTTATTCTTAAAATTATACTTGTTGTCCATTTTTTTTAAAACAAAAATGATTTAAACATATAACTACTGATACTCAATTATCTTGATTTATTGCATGAATAATCTATTAAACGAGCCAAAAAAAGTGAACAGTTCAGATTACGAAATTAGTTCAAAAATGGACCTACCAAACCTAAATACTCTTTCAAGTTGAGTTGATAATTTGAGAAAAGTCAAACCCTAATACATATCTATCCATTTATTTATAGGGTAAATTACACTTTGTCCCCGTAATATTTGGTCATTTTCTCACTTTAGTCCTTAAAATTTTACCTTTTTCTCAATTGGCTCCTAAAATTAACAGTTGTTCAAAATTTGACAGAAAATGCCATGATAACTGTCACACAAAATAAAAAATATATTATTATATTAGAATTTGAGTTTGTGTCTAATGTGTGATTAATATATAACAAAATATTTTTATGTCACATGACTATCAGTATGTCATTTTTTGTCTAATTTTAATAAAAGTTAGTTTTCAGAGTAAACTAGGAAAAACTTACAACATGAAGAGCCAAAGTGGAAACAAATAAACTTCAAGGGCTAAAGTGAGAAAGTGGACAAATATA